CTCTGTGCATGCCTCTCTCTGTGAAGTCTGATGACAAAGAAGAGGATGAGAAGGAGAATGAGGAAGTTCTACTCAAACAGTTCCTGTCAACATGGCTGACTGAACATTTTTATATAGTAAACTTTGAATATAGAACAATATACTCATTAAATTACACTTTTCTTCAGAATTTTGACATTTTTCTAAAGAACTAAAAATTTTTGCGGAAGACCAAAGATTTTTTGCGGATAACCAGGTTTTTTCAACAGGTTGGCCACTGCACAACCTAAAAAAATCTTTGTTTACCTGATATTGTTCAGTCTAGTAGCCTATTGTGGTGCAACGTTCTTTAGGACCTGTAAAACATCCTCTGATGTAATACTTGGCAGCTTCTCATAGAGTAGCTAGGTGGTTCTGGTGTTTGCAGGGTTCTTGTCCTCAAGACAAAGAAGGCACTGAGAGCATCAGGCAATGAGGGGTCTTCAGGGCATTCAGTGGCCTTCTAGTTGTAGTCAGTTAAGCCCTTGATGCCGGCCCACATGCTATGGGAGTCATTTTTGGTGAAATGTCCTTGGATTTTCAGTGCATAATCATATTTTTAAATTCCACCGAYAAGGTTCCTTCTGGCTGTCACAGCATCACCAGCCTTGAATGCTGAATCCCTAGCTCTCRGCAAAGATCTAACCTCTGTAGATATCCAAGGCTTCTGGTTAAGTTGCACTGTTGTTATTGTTGTTAACCCTCCAAGTCCACTTCTCCAGCTGTTGTTGCTACTTCCTTAAAAATCTGCCACTCAGTTGTCTCAAAACAGTCTTGTAACAAAAGCAGCATCGTTGGGCCACACTGTAAGTGTCTTTTTAGTTTGGTTTACTGTCTGTAAGAAGGGACAAGCATTACAGAGGTGTAATCAGAGAGTCTGAGGTGGGGTAGGGACACTGCTCTATAAGCTCTACATTTGTTTATATAAACTTTGTCCAGGGTGTYGTTGTCTCTGGTTGCAATAACGACATGCTGATGAAACCTTGGTGCAATGTCTGTTAGACTGACACGGTTAAAGTCTCCAGCAATCACATAAAATACATCAGAATGTTCATTTTGAAYGATTTGTATTAAGTTGTGTAGCTTTGCTAGCACCTTGTAAGCTTGAGCGCTCTGTGGTGTGTAAAGAGCTCCACTGCTGAAGTAGTGTGGATGAAGTAGAAGTTGAAGGTCATTAATTCAACAGCTTCAGAACAGCTGCTGTTAACAGTGGAAGAGTTTGAACACCAACCTTTATTGATGTACAGTGCCCCTCCACAAGTCTTTCCTGACAGATCATTTTGGTTGGCTCGAWGGAGTAGAATATTGTTGATCTGGAACAATGGGTCTGGAATTTTATTGTTCAGACATGTTTCCATAAAGGTAAGTGCACAGCAATTTTCCATTTCTTGGAACATGTTCATTCACAGACACATTAAGTCCACTTTGTTGTCCAAAGTCCGCATGTTTGCAAAAAGGACGAAATTGCACCTGGATCAGTTCTTCTGTGTTTACCCATGTCTCTTTCCTGTCCTCCAACCAGCCGGTCGAGGCAGATGGTCTCCTGTCCTGAGCCTGGTTCTGCTGGAGGTTTCTTCCTCATCAGCAGGGAGTTTTTCTTCTCCACCGTTTGCTCAGGATGGGAGACTGTGATGAAGTGATTCAACACAATCTGCTGGTTTCTTCTTTAGATTATTCTTTTTATGTACAGTGCCCTGAGACAAYGTATGTTGTGACTTGGCGCTATATAAATAAACTGAATTGAATTGAATTGAAGGTTTCATGTTGCTAGCCTTTAGTCCAGCTAGTCAGTCTGCTTACCCCGCTTTAGTTTATACTATGTACACCTTCCATTTAACTCGTCATCTTGCTTAGCTGTGATTTAAAGATGGGAGGTGAATCCATCTGGGCCGGTGTTAAGTCCAAGCTCATTTTGTGGAGCTGAAGCATGGCATACTATATTTCACACATTCACTGACTGGGTGGGAAGCTGGAGAAACCGCTGCACAGATGCCTRCTGCCATTTTTGCAGAAAAGGTTTCTTTATAGAAATAAATTGCAATGTTGTCCAAAGTTAAAATAAAAATTAAAGACCAGTAAAAACATGTAAATACATGTCCCAATGCATTTTAAGYTTGATATGAAACCAATCACTATAGCATTACTAAACATACATCAAACCAACATCAATAGAAGGCTTAGACCGTCTCATTTCACAGCAGTTTCATGCAGCCTACTCAGACTGGGATGGATGTGGCCCACCTGGTCCAGGTGAGCCACATCCTCATGAGGATGCAGGCCCTGAACTGAGACACAGCCATAGATAACTGGGCATCAGTGTATTAATCAGTTCAGTTGATCATGCAGATCWCAATATCATGAAGCATGTCTGCATCCAGTGCTGTTCACACAGATCTGTCCCAGCTGCCAGCAGGCACAGTGACAGTACAAAGAAATTATAGTCATTTTAATCAGTCAAATCCTAGACACACATGCACGCACGCGCGCACRCACACACACAGGATCAATAAATAAATCAGCCTCTTATTGTGTCGGGACTGAAAATCACACCAAGATGCTTTCATTTTAAAGGTTAGTGTGTGCGCGCGTGCGTACGTGTGTGTCTGGTCTTTGTCAGGACCCAAGAGGAGGAAGTAGAGCTGGTACTGGAGGCGGGGTGGGCACAATCTGTCTTTACTGGTCTGCATGTCATTAGCACCACCCTGTTGTCTCCTCCCTCC